AGAAGGTCCAGGAAGAATTGAGAAGCAGTTATAGTAACAAATTCAGTTAGATGGGCAGCTGGGGCGGGCAATTTTGTTACTGTAATACTTATAAATAGAGAAGAGATAGATTGGAGTAGGCAGGCAAAAACAGAGTTACTAGAGTATGGAATAGGAGAGTATAGCCCTCTCAAAAGGCTATTTTACGACTTTCTTTCACTGCTGTATTTATCATCCATTACATCAATGCATTACTGTTCTATAATTCTCATACAAAATCTATCATTTTACAGTTGATCCCTAACACATCCATAGATTGAGGTGGCAAAAATGTATGCCCAAGAGTAGTTGACATTATTTAACTTTATTTACTTTGTGGATTAATTCTTAGTTTCTTGGTATTTGCGTTGTGTGATTCGTATTTTCAAAATAAAAAATTTGTTGTGCAAGTGAAGAAAGATTACTGAAGAATATTTTATTTCATAAGTTTACTTTAGTTGAAAACATGCTGGAAGAGAAATGGCGAGATACTTTTAGTGCGTCAGGACTTTTATAACCATCTTAACTTTAATTTACGTTCATTCAATATACTTTTTATCCACGTATTTTGACTTCTATGAAATTCACAGTTTATAAGCATTTAATCAAACAAATATTTAATTAAATCCTCATGACATGTTGATAGTAACGATGTCTTATCATCATTTGATAGAATTAAAGAAGTAAATGAAAAGAATCTAATAATTTTGATAGAATTGAATAAGTAATAGATGAAATCTAATAATTTTGTTTGAATAACATTATTTATAGTTTGTTTGATATAAATTTTTCGAAAGTATATTTTGAAAAATTGGGTTTTTTTTATGATTGTATGATTAAAACTAAGAAAAAGTAATTATTCTACGTGTAAATTATTCTATTGGGATTCAAAAAATAGAATATTCAAAAAAAAAAAAAAATTTAATTAATTTTTTTTTACAAAACAGGGACTTTACTTATTATTAGATGCTCTTTAGATATACGGTCAAAATTAACTGCATTTACTACATGTGGTTAATTAAAAAAATAAAGAAAAATAACAATAATAAGGGGGACCAAAAACCTGCAAACCAATCAGAGTGGGAAATTCCGAAGCTTCTCGAGGTCTATTTCAGTAAAGAGTATGTTGCCGGGAAACGCCATTGTCCATCGCCGGAGACTTGTTGCTACAGCATTAGTATTGTTCATGTGCCTAATTTTCGTCGCTGAATCCTCTAATAATTCTTAGGTATTTTTGTTTATACACAAATTTAATTTACAATTTCATTCATTTTTCTACTTAAGTTGAAGAGTTTTCAATGTGCCTCTTCGCCATGAATGACAGATCAGATGCAGTAAAACTTGTGTCGCGGAAAATTATAACAGTGAGTCCGTTAATGATTAAGTGGAAAGTTTATCCATTAATTCATTTTCTTTTTGGGGGGATTTTTTTTTAATTGATTTTGTATTTTATATATATATTTTTTTAAATGTGTTACAGCGGTTGGAATTAAATACCGGAAGTACTGTGGAGTAGGGTGGACCGGGTGTCCAGGAGAGAAACCTTGTGATGATTTGGATGCTTGCTGCAAGATCCATGATGAGGGTGTTGAAAAAAATGGTATTTCCTTTACAACTCATTATTTTGTTTTATAAATTCTTAGTCAATTATCACATGGTTAGGTCTTTTAGACGAAGAAAAGATAAATCTATTATAATCTGGTTCTTTGAAGATGGAAAAGAAGTCATTGCTAGATTTACTGACATAAATAATGAGTTGCCATCTCCTGCCGGTTTTATGGCTAATGCTAATGAACTGTTTATATTTATAATGAATGAATGCTGAAATGTGAATAAAAAGGTGTGTGAAAAAGAGTTATTATACTACAGGAAAAGGATGATTCTAGATAGAGGATTCACCTGCAATTGAAGCCAAAATATGAGAAAAAAGATCGAACTTTTGTACATTGTTAGAAGCTTTTAAAGAACTTCATACCTGCCAACACACGAGTAATTTCTTATAACTCATGATATTCTAGACATTATGCTCCTATCGATTTTCTAAGATGAAAAAAAATACTTTGATCGATTTGCTTTGTTTAAATAAAAAGTTCATAGTCCATATTGTTAGAATATAAAGTTGTCCTCATGTACATTTTCTGAGCATCTATTTACCTTATGTTTGGCTCGTGTATACTAAATGTGTATGATCACTTGAGCCACTTTTTATCCGCACATTGCAAGACCCAAAAGTACTACCACTTATCCAACACTCATTCCTATATACTTATAATTTAAATTATTTATGAACACTTCCCAAACATGCTTATTCATGGGTGTTTTCTGATCCTCAATCTGAAGGTTTCTAAAATCGCTTTTGGTAATGCAATTGAGGCATTGCATGACATGTTCTGCTGTCCGATATAAATTAGATTTTCCATTGTAAGAGAAAATGATTTACCTCAGTTTCAGTTGCCTACATTGTATGAGGAACACAATCATTAAGTTGTTATTACCTAATAGTTTTGTGGTCATCCGTTTCAATTATAATTTGAAGAAATGGTTTAAATGATCAACTTGATTGAGATCAAGATTTATGTTAGATTTTTAGTCAGTTTTGTATTTGACAGGTGGTGAAGCCTAAAAAAGAATGTGTTTATTAAAATTTTAGAAAATGTTTATATTCTGCCCAAAAAGTTGGCCCCATCCTAACTCTAAATGGATCCTTTTCTCTTCTCATTCCTTATGTTAAACCATAAATGTTGAAGCACTCTTTAATTACCTTGTTCAAAGTGATTGTGAGCTTTCACCTCGTTTTATTCTAATAATAAAGCCATCACATTTTCATAAAGCTTCTTTGTGACTAAATAACTAGAAGGATATCGAGAATAAATAAAGTGCAATCTTTACAGTAGCTATCATTCTAAGAGCCCGAAAAAGTGACTTAATAGTGACAGATTTTTCTTGATCCACCAGTTCATCGTAATGACTCCTGTGTTGAGATTTGGTGTATAAATTTCTGGCTTTCACATAGAAAGTCAATGTGAGATATTAATGTTATTGTAGCGTCCAATCCATTTCCGTGGGATGAAGCAAAAATGAGTTAATGTTTTAGGTTTGTTGATTTTGGTCCCAATCAATGCTTCCTTCTGGGTCTATAAACAATTGTCGTGCAATGACTTTAAGTTCAGTGTTGATAACTTGATACCAAAGTGTCTCGCACAAAATTGTAGTAATTATTACCTTAGGACGTAGAACACGTGACAGCGATGCACGTTACCAAGAGTAGAATAAGGCAATGAGGTAGGTTTGGACTGCTTCTTACATAAGAAATTGGACCAGTGTCTTGTCACAACATCTCGAGTTTAAAGGAGCACCATTATGTTACCTCAATCCCATGCCCATGATGAAGGGAAAGGATCAATTAATTATTAAAAGCCCAAACAGATCATGACCATATCTTACAATTTCAATTTCGCCCAAATTAACAACATTATGTGGGTGTGGAGGAAATTCTCGTGTGTGCAGTTTTGCAGTTTGAATCTTATGGCTGGCTTCCTTAAGTTCTTCAGTGAAATAATCACACAAGAATATAATGAAAAATGTCGTACATCTACTTTGTATAACCTTGTGCAGGATGCCATCAATTACTTGGAAGAAAACTGGTGTACAAATGCTAAATCACTATAATTGTATAAAACAAACCAAATGAGGTGGCTACGGCCTACTTCAGCTGTGGATCAGAGAGGAACAGGAGCAGGTCATCTATAAAACTGTACATGAACAAATGGTTGATACTGCATATCCTAGTCTATCCAAGTTTCTCTATCCAGATAATCTGAAGTAAACATTTCATAAATCAGAATTAATGATAGGTCCGGAGTGTAAATGTCTCTCCCTTGTGACAAGTCCAGCAATCAACCACAGTTACCAACACAATTGAGATAGATCATTCATTTCATATCTTCCATCTCTGGGTGATATATCAGACTCAGCCATTGTTTCGTACAGTGCAAAAACATGATAATGTAAATGTATCCAGTTACATCATGGTGCACAGTTATCTTAGTTTCTGGCCCCTCAAACTTCTCTAATGTGTTCAAAAGCACAATATATAACATAATTAACATTAGCAACAATGCAAACTGTAACCATCGTCCCCTTATATAGGCACCTTCATGATTATTACAAATCTCCCAAGACACAAATATCTTGGTAAATGACCCAGCCATAAGTATGCATCGTCGGCCATCTCATTCTTAGTCATTACCAAGTTTTCAGGGACTTTCTGACTTGTGCATACAAGAGCAGGATACCAATCGCTTTGTTTCATTAGTGATCATGAAGGTTCTCCTGGAAATGTGTCTATGGTGACCCCTGCCTTTCAGTCACACTAGTAGAGGTAGAGTGTTATGCCAATACTCCAATTTTGACATCATATGCAAAATTGCATGATACCAGATGTTTGTATTCCAAATGTGTATCATGCTGATATTGTCGAGGAAGCACTTAGTGTCTTGTTTTTGCATTATAGTTAGTACAAAGTACCAGTATCTACCGTGAACTTTCATTCCTTGGTAGCTTCTAAGTTGGTTTCTAGCATCACATATTAACAATAGCCTTTTGGTTATTTATAATAAAACTCTCTTTTTAAGCTTTATGTATCATGGGTAGCAATACTTGCTGGTATGTAGCGATACTTAGGCACTGTACTGACATAGGTATCTGTTCCTATATGACGGGCATTGATACCCATGTTAATAGAAGGCTTTGGTATTGGTACTTGAGTACTAGGGGTAGATACCCGTTGTAGAAAATTTCTGAAAAACTTAGATTTTCCCTTTGGTTTTTCGTTTTTCCATGAAAAAAAAACTACTACTAATTCTAACGTCCAAAAGAGGCTTTGACTTGAAAAAAAAGTAACTTGCGAAAGTTTAGATATCATCATATTTTTGCCTTTTCCTTTTCATAGGTCCCTTTTTTACTTGGTTTCCTCTCATCAAGTGCTTGAAGTAGCTGAGTTTTGCAGAGTTCTTTAGCGAGTGGAAAGGTAGAAATGTTGTGGGTCAAGGTGCTATTTGTGGTAGCAGCCCGAGCCCTTCTTCCTTAGCCAAGAAAATTCCTTATCTCTTCTTCCTCCTATTTTTTCTGGCTCTCTTTTGCAACCGGTGTCCCTCTTGTAGGATTTCCTAAGCAGGTATTCAGCTGCCTTAAATAGGAATTTATTAGTCTTTATTTTATCAGTTTTTTTTTTTCTGAGTTTGAAATTGGATTTAATTCTGCATATAGTTATATTCTAATTGTTTATTAAATTGGATGTTACAAGATTTCATAAAAGAAGGAGTTTGTAGTTTATGAGACAAATCTTAGAAATCTTAGCATGTGCATTCTATTTGTTTCTCTTTAATGTATGTCTGTCCTGATGCACCTCAGCCCTATCAACAAATATTTCGTTGTTATATGTCCTAATTTTTCTTCCTTGTGTGTTCATATTTTCTTTTAAAAGTAATAAATATTTTGTAGGAATATTTCAGGGTTGTTACAAAGCAATCATCGCAGTAACTGATTAGATATATGGGATAATTCTTTGGTTAAAATTGGGTTAGCTGCGTCATTGTTTTCTGCCACTATAATCTGTTCTTTTCGACATTTCTGGTAAACCTTCGCCTGGAAGTGAGTGTGTTCGAAATATTCACTTCAATTTCTATTATTGCTCAATCATAGAATAATTTTTTTATTTTTTATTTTTCAGGTTTTACAAATATAAAATGTCACGAGAAGTTCAAGAGGTGAAAAAAAAAAAGTACAGAGATCTGGGAAGGTTAGTTTCTCCAATGCCTGTCCATATGATACAGTTGTGCCTACCATGGGACAAGGTATGGACATGGCCATTTTATTTAGCCAGTTTGGTAACTCAAAGCTTGAACTATAATAGGTTACTTCCAATTTTGGGTTAACATATATTCAGATTCATTCTTTTTCCAATTGAAATGACTGTAGACCCATTTTTATGAAATATACAATGAATTTGTTGAATTATTGGAAAGGTTTGTCACCTTAGATATTGTAATTCTGCAATTTGAAGATTAAGAGAGATTTATTTTATTTCCTTCTCCTCTTCCTTTTTGTTCGAGGCTTTATGGTACCTTCATGACTTCTCAATATGATAAGCTCTAAACCTCTTTTCCTGTTTGTTTGATAGCCCTTTGTTTCTTTTTGTTCTTGTTTGCTGTGGATATTTCAAGTAGTAGTTTACATTTTGATTCAGAACTTAAAACATAGTTCTTTAGATTTCTCGTCTAATCTTGGGGTATGCTTGCTTTCTCTTGACATGTTATATATTAAACACATATATGTGGTTCTTTGTCCCCAACCTTTTAACACTATGTAAGTGGTATCCTTACCCGATGGAAAATGCTTGTTTAGACCTTAGATATTCATGCGACACTCGTAATGTGACTGAAAGGATAAAATTGCTAAAAAGAAGATAAAAAAAGAGGTCGACGAGGAGAAAGCAAAAACACTTCTAAAATACATTCAAGACTTCTAGAAAACTCAACTTGTAAACTAAGAAAACTCCAACTAAATTTCATTGATTGCTTGTCATATAACTTTACAAACGAAATATTTAATCTCCACAAAATCACTGAATCATCATATAACACACAGTGATAACATTGCATTATGCTGTTAAATTTAGAAATTCTGTTAAGCAAGGAGTTGAAATCTGATATTCTTCAATGCTACAACAACTTCTTTCATGTTCACCCTCTCACTGGCACTCTCCATCGAGCAATTTAAAGCAAGTTCCATTACAGATGACAAACATTTCAACTTTTTTGTGTTGTGTTCTTCTAGTCCCAACAAGTTCGAATCTATAATCCGAGTTATTGCATTGGGCATAGAATCATTGATCCAGCTCCTTAGGATTAAATCTCCAGAAAACTTTTCATCGCTTGGTTTCGTTCGTGTAAATACTTCCATTAACATGATGCCATAGCTATAAACATCACATCTTATTGACACTGATCCTTCCAATCCATACTCTACACAAATATTATGAAATTCATTAGCAGTATTATGTTTNATGTTGCACATGATTAGAAATATATATAAGTTGTATTTCATGTCTTTTGTGTATTGTAATGTAAAATATATCTAAAATTTTCTAAAGTATTACTATGTTTTTGTTTTTGCTAACAATGAATACGAATATTAACCATTTGAACTACCCTTATCCAGCCTAATCTAGTGGACCAAACGTACCCTGAATGCCCAAGAGAAAAGATTGGAGTAAAAGATAGGAGCTTTACGTGGTGCAATGTAACCCAATGTTCCCAGGGTTGTACTGTATGCATTGCTATCTCCTTCACCCAATAACTTAGCAATTCCAAAATCACTCAAGTGAGCAACCATATCTTCATCCAGCAGAACATTACTTGGCTTCGAATCACAGTGAACAATAGGCGTTGA